AGCCCTCATTTGGTTTTTTTTTTTTTTTTAATTTTAAAAAAAAATAAAATAAAACTCCATGAATATCCAACAGAAGCCAGAAAGGTCGAAATACACAGGTGGCAATGAGGATCATTCAATGATAATGATGATGATCATAAAAATATTAGAAAGTCTAGAGAAATGGAAGTTAACCACAAAATAGTCACAGAAGAGACACAAAGGGTGTGTGGGACCCATGTCTGTAGCAAAACTGTCGGAAAATCGACAGCAAAACAGACTTGTCATTGGCAACTCGGAAATCTCCAAATTCAGAGAATTCTAGGATCTAACTTTGTGGTGCATAACTACAAACAATGAAAGAGAGGAAAATCTCCAAGCCTAACCATTGACTGTTGATTCCAAAAAAGGCTGCGACCACGTGATGGGGACTTATGAATAATTTTATCAAAGTTCGGTACTGGTTGTAGGATATATTGAGTCAGCTTATCAATCAAAAGAAATACTAAGCATATGGTAAATCACCCTTCAGGAACAGAAACCAAAGTAAACTGACTCCAGAACAGATGCAAACTTATGTTATAGGGTTTACAATCAATAAAGAAGAAGCAATACCTGGTTTTCAGATGCCATATTTGCATTAGATTCAGCCGAACCACCACTCCAAAGGCCACCAACTAGCCGACCTGGTATACCTAAAACACCGCGAACAACGCCTTTACCTGCACCTTGCTGAGCAACACCTATCCTCTGCTTATCTTCATCAGAGAATCCTAGCATGCGAACCATAAGATCCAAAACCTAGTGGCACCCTCATAAGTTAATCAGTGCATAACAAGTCAAATGGAAAATTTTGAAGAGGGTAGTGATTTTAACCCGGATAAGAGGAAGTAGTGGCTACGAAAATAGTGGTCTTCCATGCATCTTCTGTGCACGTAATACTAATGGAAAATTTGAAGAGTAGTGCTTTATCGATTTTGAAGAGAGAACCTCTTCATATATATAATTGAGAAATCAGAAATATTGTGTTATCAAATTATACCTCTTTGCTGTGGTTTCTCTGGAAGTAGGTTACCAACAATTTGATTACTATTCGCCTGCCCAAAATGCCAGTCATCTGTCAATACTAACTTGCAATTTCCATTATCTCAACGGAACATGACAGATAATGAATGCAGAAACATATATAAATTGAAATTCAATTAAGTTTTGTATCTGACATCGAACTAAGATGAAAACAAAAGAAAAATCTTGGATATAACATTTAAAAATGGAAATGATGAAATTTAGACGATGGCAAAAGAAATTATGGCTGCAGGTTACAACTGCAGCCATGGAAGTGATTTCAAAGGTGGTAGGGGTGATGGTTCTATCCTATGCATCCTTAGGAGAGAAGTTTAATCCATCTTCGTTGACTCATAAAATCAACAATTTGAATAATCTCAACAACTAGCATCACATTCAAAGCTTGAATGCCTCTCTCTCTCTCTCTCTCTCTGGGGGTGACATTTGACAGAAAACAAATCATTCTGATAAATACCACTCAGAAAAAGAAAATCAGCAATGAAATTAGATTCTTTACTATATTATATTGTTCTTAATAAGTTCATAAAAGTTTGATGCAATTGTCTACATTCATAGAAGGAATTAGATGTGGCAAACCCAATAGTTGAAATTGGGGCTTCCGTACGAGTGCAAGCATGTGAACTTGCACAACAATCTATCTTCATATTGAATTGTACTAGCCAGAAGCTAATCAAAATGGATTAAAAACCTAATATCATAATAATAACAAATCTGAAATTTATAGAGGCACACCTGTCGACAAAATAGTCAGAGTCCATTGACATCCTGTTAATTCTTGACATGCTCTGTTCAAAAGCTCGACGTAGTTTTGCATTGTCTTCCTCAAGCTTATTTACTCTGTCTCTTCCTTCTGCTAGTATCCTTTCAGCTTGTGAAAGCTTTTTCAACGAATCCTCCTTCTCACTCTTTAATATCTCTGCCTGTTGATGTGCATCCTGGTGGAAGAAGAGACAATTTCATACCCAAAAAACTAGTAGAGAGGAAGATTGGCTATGCAAATCACAGTATAGCAAATAATGCTCAAGTTTCAAGAAGATTTTAGATTTAACTCAGATAAAAGATTCATTAACAAATAGATAAGAAGCCTATTAAATATATTGGCTAAAAATGTTGAGTGCCATTTAACAGTACAAATGTGCATCATGTCGATTAATATAGCACCATAACGAATGACCAAAAAAACAAAGAAAATTTGTTAAACTTTCCGATGCGGTCTGTGGAGCAAAGAATGGCAGTGCAGTCGGATGTGGAAGCCAATCAGTATACATTGAAGTCATGTGTGGAAACCATGACTGCGGTGACAAACTTGTCGAACCGGCTGCAGAGTAGGGCAAATGAGGTGCAGCAGTTAAACTCCCAGCTGGCTCTGCTCCAACGCATGTATAAGGATGCGCGAGCAGAGATAAGCGTGCTAAGGGCAGAAAACAAGGAGCTGAAGCGGAAGGCCACCGTGATGTTCCGATTTGGAGGTCCGCCATATGCAGCAGTGGAGGTGCAGGGAGTAGTGATCATGCCCAGTGAAGGGGGAAACACGGAGGCAACACCGTCAAGGGCCGTCCAGGACGGAGGTAAGAAGAAGAGACCTGCAGTAGAGTAGAGAAGGGAAAAGAAAAAAATCCCTCCTGTGGGTGTGGTGGTTTTGTTTTGGTTTGTTTGTTTGTTTTGTTTGTTTGTTTGTTTGGTTTGTTTCAGGGGCCACCGCACCCGTTATCTCTCTTGTTGACTCATTGAGGTCGGGAAAGAGAGTCAGCAAACCACGGGACGACGAAGCCATTTTGCTCTCGCAACAGAGTGGGTGTACAGACGTCTGCTCTCCCTCAGCCCACCCACCAACAGTGTTACAGGCCCCGCCCCCCCCCCTCTCTCCCCCAGCCCCCCCCATAACGAAAAAGTTAAATACAGGAGGATTTCGCAAAGTTGTTTTTCATATATCCATGCACTCAAGGATGGAAAGAGACAATCAGAGCTCCCGTGCTTGGTTTAAAATAATAAAATAAATAGCCGAGGGCGATGGCGGCCCCTACTGTCGTTCTAGTGCGCGCTGTGCCTCTTTGACGCCAGTTACAGTAACGGTCACGTGCCAGCCTAAGCACTTCACTGGTGCCTTCGGCATTCATAGTCTAGGCACGAACACACCTTGTGAAATGACATTACAAGTGTGTCTTATCGCTCTGTGTGTTTTTGTTTTTGCATTGGTGGTCACGCCAATATAATTTAGGAAAAAAAGAAAAATAAAGGCAAACACAACAAATTATTAAACTTGAGGGCTACGAGCTTTTTGACCCCCCCCAAACATGGTTTCGCGCGCGCCCTCCTTTATATCTTACATCCATGTATAAATCTTTTTTGGGCAGTTGTTTCGAAAAACAAACCAAATAATACTAAACACATCTCAGTACAGTCTCGTTAGAAAAATCATATACACCTAGTCAGCTTTATCAATCACCTTTGATTTCAACCTCAAAATACGAGAGTTTCTATCTTCACACCATATTATAGACAGTAATAGAGGGGGGGTTTCTTTTTCTCCCCTATTTTGTGTGGTCCCCCCCTTCTGTATATCCTTACAAGTTTATTCTCTCTCTTTTTTTTTTTTT